GGCTGCACCATGGCTGATACAGGCCAGGAGGCTTTTGACCTTCTTGGCTGCCTGGGCACAAGCCGGCTGATGTCATGCCATCATGAACCCGCTCCTCTCTGCAGGATGCTGGGGAGGAATTGCTCAGCATAAGTACCACCAGCCCCAGCAGATAACAGGTCTCCAAAGAGAGAAGGGAATGTGAGCACATGTCTGATCTCAACCTTCAAACATAGGAAGCCAAAATGTTGCTAGAGCAGAAAACACAAATCCAAGAACTTAGATTATTTTCTCGTACTCCTTTAAATATTCAGGGCATCTGCTACCAGCAAGGAGGCTGTGAAAGATGAATCGGACTTAGTCAGCAGCTCATAAAGGGAGTGTTTACATCAAGGCAGGAAAACAGCCAGATTCCTATGATCTCATACTAATACATTGCCTTATAAGTCAGCAGCTTGTAAGCATCAACATTTAAACTGTAGTGAAAATGCCCAATTGCATGAACTAAGTGAACTGGTTTTAGTGTCAGAGACTGAGATACAGATCTGGTAACCACAGAGGAAAGCACAGCATCTGCCCTAGCACCAGAACTGGTATGTCATTACCGAATCACAGGGAAACAGTCATTTTTAGGGTGGAATTTATGGACAAACTGATATACAGATAGTGTCCTGACTCTCTTGGGCTTTCAGCCTCACAGGTCCTTGGCTGCATTGTGGTACCACCTACCTTGCAGCCGTTCCCTGCCAGCCTACTGTGGTCATGCCACAGTGAAAAAGCCACTCTCTGCATTCATAGTGCTGCCCCAATGAGCAGCTGAGCCCACTGGCACTGGGCATCCCAGCCCCATCAAACCCTCTATGTAAGTACAGAGCCCGCAGTAAGTTCGCAATGCCTTGTGCTGCAGCGTGCCTGGAGCTGGCTTTCTCCATGCACACAGAAGAGGAACTGGTGTGAAGTCAAGGATGAAGACCCCTCTGAATGACACAGGCGGCTGCAAAGCAGGAGGACATCAAAGCATCTGTGTGCAGGTAAGGATTGACATAGACTGGCTTGGTTTGGTTTGGGAGGGGGCTTAAAACTCATCCCGGTTCCAACC